CTATTTTACTGTACCACTTGTTTATTTATCATTCTACCTGATAACCGTACTAATGCCAGTTGCTTCACTATTCCTATATCGGTTTCGTTCAAATATTAATGCCCAAGGTTTAAGGCTGTCATTTATGTTCACATCTAAATCTTAAACCAAACACCAACACTTCGTATTGGGTACTTATTCTCATGCCTGTGCAACTGGCTGTTAGCCTGACCTCCAAACGAAACCTTCGCATATTTGTAGTACTATTGTTCATGAGATTTAATGTATCTCCATCTAGTTTGTGGCAGTTCATACTCATGTGCATTTTTGGTATTCGAACTGCCATTGCACACGGATGACGCCAATGCAGGTATACCGAATGAATTCGATGAGGATAGTCTTACCGCTTTTGTGCGGCCAACTTAGTGCAGGAAAGCGGAACTGGGGCAAACCGGAAAGAACATTACCAGGACATGAAGAAGGTGAATATTTGACGGACTAATGTTGATTTCAGGTATTGCGAATCAAAGACAAAGTTGACCGGTGCGAATTCCGTGGACTAATCAACAGGGCGGTTGCGCAGGTGCAGAAGTAGGTAGTATTGCATGCGGAAGAAAAGCATGATGCATGCGCTCCCATTCGATTTACTAATCTAGGCTAATAAGGCGGCGTATGTGGTACATTTGCCTACGTGATGAGTATTCTTGCATTTCAGAACTTCGAAATTGATTGAGCTCCCCTGTGTGGCTGCACCTGATGTGAATGTTGACAAGGTGCCTACCTGTCTAAAACCTTTCGCCTCGGTTGCTGGCTCCAGAAGACAGTTTGTCGTTGCTGGACGGGACGGGGTGCACCGTCCTCATGATGATGCTAAGTTCAAAGATTGGTTCCATCCTGTGTGGAACGGGCTACGACCCAGCCACCGTCTTGTGTACGTCTGGGGTGCATGATTTCCCAATTAGGCTGGAGTGCTTCTGCTCTGCTTGTTGAAGAAGTGTGGGCTGACTCCGTTGATGAAACGTGGCTCCCATCCACATGCCTCCCGGTCTTATTCCTTCGGGTTTACACTGGATATGGGGTGTGTGGGTGGAACTGTAGGTGGTGCAGCGCAGGCCACCCATGGTCCCTCAGTAGGCGCAGGCGACCTGTGGCTATCCCCGCGGGGGCCGCAGTGACAGACAAATCCGGATACGAATACCGGCAATAAATACATAAATATATATGTAAAGCAGCTGACTTTACAATAGACATACAACTGTCAAAAGGGCATATATTGATTGTGCATAATAAGTACAAAAAGCACGAATGGGGTAATTTACAAAGAAATGGCTTTCGCTGTTCTTCATACACCGATTTGTCTTTTTCTATCAGCTTAGTGATTGTGGTGTTGATCGGTAGTATCAGTGCATTTAATCATTCCTCATTCCATTGTCCTTGATTACGCGCCATGTCCTCATAAGTCTCCAACCAGCGATGTTTTTCATCTCGGACTCCCCAGCCCGTTAGTAGGGCGGGCCCAGAAACACCTAGACTCGAAGTTAGTGCGTTGACCTTTTGTCGCTCTATGGTCGGTTGACCATCGCGTGATGGTTTCTAGTGCGGTCCTACGCGAGCGAGTTGAGCACACCGTGGTAAACGCTCGCGCGACATGCGTAGGACGTGGTTTTGCCACTTCAGTGGCGCAGCGGTACTGGCCTATCGAGAGGGAGACCCGTATTATTTAAACTTAAATCGCGACGTCCAACATTCTCGCAATCGTTGTGTTCCCACTACGTACGAGCTATCCTCTGCAGACGGCCGCTGTCAAAGGCCGAAATTCGACATGTCATTCGCACGGATGGGCCAGGACTAACTTTCGTTTAGCAGTACCGCATCAACATTGGCATTATAAATCCTCATCTTTACTAAGGGCGAAACATCACGACGATGCCACATATGTCTCCGATTGGCGATAGCTGATAGGGTTCTGGCAGTACGGAGAGGAATCTCTCTTCCAACGGTACCACCAAAAGAGACGCAGCTCCCAAGGTGAATGACGCTATCTACCTATTCAAGCTGCGAGTCTCCAAGAATCAACACGGGGCAGGTAAATGCCATTCCTGGAGTAGGATCTGGTGTTTTCATGGGGCGAACATCATGCCGTAGTTAGTAGCTTCACCAAGCGGTTTACAACAACCTGGGTCGTCACCGAGCAAACCGATATCATCAGCATGATCCAAGACAGTCGCGCCGTTGGCTGGGCAAAACTCTAGACTAGAACGGAGGACATCTTTCAGAATGGTCATTAGGACGTCCTCAATCGCAAAGTTGAAGAGAAACGCTGACATGGGACATCCATTCCGCCCGCCGCTAGTGACAGCGAAAGATGAAGTGACCCTACCGTAAGCTGCCACTCTGCCATAGACATTGTTTCAGTATACTTTTTGGCTACTCCATTCCTTTGCAGACAACGCCATATAGCAAGCCGATCGACGGAGCCTAACGCAGCTAAGGTGTCCAATAAGAGAAGAATAGTAGACTGGCGATATGAGTCGCTGCTAGAGCACTTGGCAGAGCGTAAACATATGGTCCACATATCCTCGACCGGGGAGGAAACCAGCCTGTTCCTCACAGCAGTGTAACTTCCGAATCAGTGTCAGCCTGCGGGGTAGAATAGATGTTAACAATTTGGATGCCACTGATTTTTCTGTGGTTGGTGCATGAGGTACAAGCACCTTTGTTGAAGATGGATACAATGATCGACTCGCCCCAAGAGGACGGAACTTTTTCTTCACATCAATTCTTGCAAAACAGCTTTGGAAGAAGTGTGTCTGATCCAGCGGCGTTGAATCGCTTCAGGTGACCAAGTTTAATGTAGACCTCTGCTTTGGTGGGTGGTTTCGGTGTAAAGTTCCAAGGCGCGCAGGTTGGCCTGCTTGTTAGGCAGGCGGAAGGAGGAAGCCAACGGAATTGAGAGTGGAAGTGTTCAGCCCAGCGGTCCGCACGCCTACGCGAATTTGTGCTTGGAGATCCACCATCCTCGCAAATAGCTTCACTGACGCCATATCTTCTGTGGCCAACGGTCCGAATGATATGGAAAAGCCTGCGAAAATTTCCAGAAAGATCTGCTATTTCCATCTCCAAAGCGCGCTGACCCCATCAAGTTTCGCGATCGTTACGCAAGTTTTGCCTAAGTTGTTGGCTGAGATTGAGGTGGATTTCATCGCACCTTAAATCAGCTGGGGTAGCTCAGTGAGCTGCGTATGACTTACATTAGTTGAAGGTCCTCGAAATGATTACCGAATACTGAAAATAGAGCGTTAGTTGATGTGTCTGTGTTGCTCCATCCTAATTAATTCGGGCACTTGCGCAGAGTCACGTCACTGATTGCTGCGCGTCTACTGCATATTACAGCTCCGCCATATACTATTCCGGTTGCAATGTGCTCCCTGTATCTGAAATCCGCGATGTAAGTGACTAGCAATTTCTTGAATTCCAACACCGACTTCGTCTGGATAATTTTCGCAGGCAAACTGTTACGCTTTTTCACTACTCAGCACTCCAAGCATGGAGGGTGAACTATCCGCTTTAGTCCTCCTTACCACTAGCTTGTACCGGTGTCAGCGTGTGCTGCTTGGTGCGCGCACGTGAAGCAGTCGCCTCAGCATGGGGAAGTGATCCAGATGCAATATCCGATGCGTCATAATGAAGTCAACTCTAAATCGACGGAACAGCAGGGTATACAGCCCTAGTCGTCTTCATCGGTCTTCATACGGTATACTCCGTAAACTGGGAATAAGTCTGATAGCCATATGCTGAACACCTTCCAGTCTTTGCACCTCGCCACGGGTGATCGGACAATAGGCGGGTGATCCGTACTCTAGCTTCGGTCTTATGCTGGAACAGAAGAGATGCGTGGCAGTCTCTTCAGACCAAATACAGAAGCTGCATTTGAGTGCCCAAAGCGTGCGCAGTCCGTTTCCTTATTTCTTGTTCGGATTGTCAGTCCCAAAGCACGCGGTGATTTGACATTAGACATGCTTGTGGTGCTCAATCTCCCAATTACGAAGTGGCTTATTAGTCTGTTAAACTTAGTCTACGGTTCAGTGATGTAAAACGGGATTAGATCGTCATGTGCCACTGAGGTACAAGGTGGCTTGGTCAAGTACCATATATACTGGCCTAGGTATGTCATTGAACAAATGTTCGAAACCATTTGTTCTCTAGTTTGGTATGTCTAGGTAGTAAATTGGAACCCGATTCGTTTGCTCGAAGCGTCGAACTTGGTTCTATTATGGCATCAGCTCCATAGATTGCAGCGGTCTGAAATGACGCCTGATTGGTTGTTTCGAAATATACCGGGAGCGTTGATGATTGGCGACGGCAAATGCACTGAAGAAGTCCATTGCGATTGAGTATAACTGAGTCTTGTTCTAATTCATCCGAAGTACTACTGGTCATTGATAATTGAGCAGGGCAGAAAATGCGTCATTTCTCATGCATAGTTCTTTGCTCTTTAGGACGGATTGTTTTGCACAAAGGTTTAGGAGCTTCGGTTGCCCATCCGTCTCTCACGAGAAATGCACATCACTACCACCAACTTTGCTTGTCTTGTGAAGCAGCTTACTTCCTCTGTTGCAGATTTTTGGTATGATGACATCCCCTTGGGACTTTATATGACGAAAACAACTTTTTGCGCTTGTTGTTATGGCAAATTGAATAAAACTTTCCCAATCTACTATCTGAGCTGTAACTGCTTTCGGCATCATGAAGCACTGAGGATTCGTTTTCAAAATTGCCGAAATCGCGAGTAAAACGATTTGCCCCAATTTTAATCAACCACACTGAATTCTCTACTGATATGCACCAGTCGCTTGATCTGCAATTACTCGGCGCATTTAGAGTGATGTACACTCGGAAGCCACATTTGCATCGTTTTCATGACACCACTATTTTCACTCCTTTGTCTTCAGCTCGATGACTCACTACTATCAGTAAACTGTGGCCGCCTTTTGTGACACTTCGTTTTCTTCATCTTGCAGGACCAACAAAGGCATGGTTGTGCGCATCGGTAAGGATCAAAGCACTTTTCGTCTTGCTTTTGTCTCAAACTCTGAATTTCTTCCGTCGGAGTTTGAGAGTTGGATGCGGCGGATCTCCGAAGCCAGTGTGAAGCCACCAACGATGAGCTTCGTTAATCGCAAAGCTTCCGAAATTCAAGATGCACTCACGCGGCCTATTAAGGATGAACGTGTGGTGGAGCAGGTAGGCGGTAAATCTTTTCACATTGCCTCGCCCTCACTGCTTTTTCGTGTTGATTATTCTCATTGTTTTTCTCTTCGTTGCGCTTAGATTATTCAATCTAAAAAGCGATTTCAAAGAGCGCCAACCAATTTTGCTATGCGCAAGGCCGAGTTGCTGAAACAGCGCGAGCAAGCTGAAACCGAAGGCGATGTGGATGCGATACATCGCCTGGATTTAGAACTTGAGGACATAGAATCGCAAGCGGAACGTATCGAACGTCGGAGAACCTTGGGTTTTAAATCGATTACTTCGATTAACCAGCGCAACCGGATGCTGAGTTTGCAAACGGCGGAGGAAGCCATCCGCAAAGAAACCGAAGAAGCCCAGAACTGCAAGGAAGAAGATCCATTTACACGTGTCCATTCTCAGCCAGTTATTGTCACGAAGAAATACCTTGAGCAACTCAGATACAAAAGAGTAGGTCTTTTCGCTATTTCCCTCCATGAATCGTTCAGAATATTATTTTTCATGTTTAATCTCTTTCCCTGTATACAGTTTAGTTTTTTGATCCGCATCGTGAGTGCTCTGGAGTGCATGCTAGCTCAACATTCCTTCAGTCGTTTCACGCAGATTGCACTCCTCATGCGATTAGCTTCACCTACCTACTTCACTGAAGTGATTGGCGAATTCTCGGTTTCCTGAACAACCTGCTGATACTTTCGGTTTTTCATACTCATTTGCTGTCCCTCGATAAGTTCTTCTTTTTCGCTCGTATCAGCCTACCGGCGTTGGTTCGCTGGTTTTACTGGCATCTTTCCGATATCTCAGCACGGACTCTCTATGTTTCTTTAAAGGTGCGTTTGCCGATATGTTTACACTCCTTTTATTCTGACCCTTTATTGTCTGTTCGTCTTCTTTTTCATTAGATTTTTTGAATGTCACCCATTGTGTGCACAAACACGATCCTGTTTTGCATGCCATTGATCTCTTCCCAACGCTTTTTCTCCGCCAGACAGGACAGTCACATCCCGAAGATTCCCAAAGCCACACTGATCTACCGGCTAGCGGTGGAAATTCCCACGATGCACCGAACTCAGTGCTCAGCTCCACACCTTTGGCGTCGAATTACGCCCGCGCTTCCCACAATACCTCTTTCTCATGTTCTCGATTGGGTGAGCATACGTTACTCGACAATACCGATAGTATCAGGCGGTCCGCTTTTGATGAAAGCTTAAACCTATCCACTCCACAGGATTCACTGCACTCAATTCACAATTTTGAGATCAATATTAATTTAGACTTGGATGATACCGGTAATCAGCCATGTTTGGGTGGTGCGGGCGACGGGTCTGACTTATCAAAGGATCATGTGAGGTCGAAGCATAACGCCGCATCAGTTGGGCTACGTGAATCGGTGAATGGTCCTTCCAGTCCGGCTGTGCCCAACGGTCTAGGAGCGAAAAAGCTGAATCGACGATCTCTCAACCTACAGGAGTACAAAAAGAGGTTCGGGTTAATATGACGTTCTTCAACTTTTCCCCTTTAAACTGGCGCTTTTTGTTGGAGATAAGCAGCTAGTGCCCGCCTTTTACTTTTTCCTCTCTTCACTGATCGCAGCCTCGCTTTGTGACTCACCGCATGTCAACTTTGAAGTTAACCTTTTGCATGTACATAAACTTTGCATGCCTCACCTGCGATTAGTTGCCCGTTGTACATACTTTTCGCTCCAGGTGAGCGCCATACAGATTCCTCTTTCATTAATTCGGTCTGATCTTATCGCCAACTACCAAACTACTATTATTTGCTTTACTCAACTGATTCTCTCCTCTTTTGTGTTTTTAAAGAGCCACTGGCTTCATGTTAATCCATTTAACTTTTATTGTGTGTAGTCCTAAATTTCCTGCTTGCTCGAATTATTAGGTGTAAAATTATGAGGAATCCTGGCAGCATCCTTAGTAGAGGCTCCTTGAGCAATCCCCATTTTCGTCGTATCTGTGTTAGCCTTGTGACGGACGCTGTTCGCTACACCACACCACACGACAGAGGAGCGCTACATGTCTGTTTGTCGACCATTCGCTAGCTGAATTAATACATTACTGTTGCGTGTCTCATCAGTGAGATGCGATGCTCAACAGACCCTTCATTGACCACTGAAGCGTTCTACAAAAAATCAACTGGTGAACTTTAGCATCGCTCATTGGGTGCACATACTGTGGATGTCGGTGGTTTAACAATCTCAGACTCCTAAGCCAAGGCATTGGCAATACGCCGGTACACAGTACCGACGTTTCGCTGTCGCGCAACCGACACTAGTTTTGCGCGGGCTAAAGATACTGCGACAGTCGGCCGCTCCCTACACAGGCTCGAATCCGCGCCCTCGGATTGCAAGGCAGGTTTGTGATCCTTAAGGCCACGGTCCGGCTAGGTTCCTTGTGATGATAACCACAGTACCACTGACCTCACGACAACTAGTTATCAACTTTACATTCCTCCATCTCCACAAGCGTTAGTTTTGCAATAGCCAAACGAAGCCGTTACTGTTATCTATTTGATCCAATCGATCACTCCGAGTGTGTGTTCAGTGGCATGAAAATCGGTGCTATTTCGCGTCAGATCCTTGACCACTTTTTCATTGTGCAAAGGGGATACCGATGGCGTAACGCTCTGTGCATATGTGCCCATAATTGTTGGTACAGAAAGCCACGATGTCCGCACACTTTAAGTTCGAAGTTAAATCCCTTAGTAACACTTCCACTCCTGGAGTTTGTTGATGCTGTCCGCAAACACAGATAAGGCGCTCTTTGCAAATTAAACCCAACATAGCAGACTCCAAAGGCAATTTCCATTTCACTCTCGCTTAACGGTTTATAGGTTTGATATGAAGAAATTCCTCCATCTCGCTTCTCAAGTTGCTGCACTACCATACATCTGCGGCCAGCCATATCCAGCGCAGTCTTCAAGCCAGTAAAGGCTACAACCTTAAACTGGTTGTACGGTTGGCGCTTACCAAATGCCAATCATGGCACACGACTGGTAATTGAAGCCTCCACTAGTATGCGAACTCGTTTTATATTCACCCCCCGTTTGGCTCTTGATGACTCTCAATGTGTTGCTTATGATTAGTTTGAAGGCACTGTTCCACAACGTACCCTTTAACATTTTTACTGTAGAAGTAGCGACCGTCGGGGTTGGTTCCTTTGCACCAGATATTCTCAAATGAAGTGGATTAGCAACTCATCAGGTATTCACCATCGTATTTCAATAACCGTAAGGAAGATCCTCGGGGTCAGATGCTCCCTCCGTGTCAGCAGCGTATCGTCGATGGGATCTGTTTAACGTCCAAGGCGGATTCGAATGACCGAACTTATAGTTTTACACAGTAGACCGGTAGAATCACTCTTCAAAGTGTTGAAACCGACTTGATCGAGTGAATTTGTTATTTGTCTTTCTGGCCTAGTATGTTACTTGCATAGGCCTTTCTGAGACCTGTGGTTTGGTTGAGTTGCAGTGGCACTCTGGCCTTCATCTCACGAATCCTCAGCAGCCGCCACCATGTATCTTCAGTCATGAAACCACTAATCAGATCACTTAACATTGTTACTAGCCTGTTGGAACTGACTGCTCAGCGAACCATCATCACTATTTTGTTGAAATAATATAGAGTTCCGTTCATTATTCAGATACATCAATCTGTGTATCGATAGATGACTTCTAACCCCTTTTCTGTTCAGTTAGCCTACGTTGTTCATCAGTGACAGCTTACTACATTTGTAATCGATATCGTAGTCCTACGTATTTTGAGCACAAATCGCTAACAACCGCCTTGAAAACTCCACACTTAACTGAAGCCAAGTGAGCTCCTTTTTTAGGCTCATTCAGGAACGTGACTGCAGTCGAGGCAAGTTCTCCGGATGGAATAACAATCCAAGATTGACCTTCGCCACTGCGGCTGGGTACTAAACCTAGCTTATCCAGTTGGCCGACGTGCTAGGGAGGAGTAGCACCTCTGGTAAGGGACCTGCTTTGTCCTCCGGGGTAGTCTGCCTATTTTTGGTCTCCGCCTGTCACCCAGCTCTCACATGTGGCTCAAAGAAGCTGCTTGCACGCGGTAGCAGTCACTTCCCTGTCAACCGTCAGACAGACGGGCTAAACCAGGTGAGGGTAGCCGGGAATACTATTCTTAGTGAGTTCGTACCCGGTTGCACCGTCAGTCCTGACAACTGGGCGGAAGTTAAAACAATTTCCCAAATCCCTACTGACTTGCAGGTAGCACTTGACTGTGCAATGGCTAAAGGTGAACCCTCGAAGAAAAGCCAGATGAGGTTTGGGTCCTCATACTCACCCATAATCCGCACGAAACGTCATGATATGTCCGTTACCCGTGATCCCTCTCATGCTACGGCGTTCCAGGTAGGCGACGCGCTCTGCGCTAACCCAGTCGCCAGAGTGACAAGTAAGCTAGCTGAGTCCCTCAATCCCCGGAAGTCATTATTCATTGGATGCTGGAATGTCAGCACCATCTTGGATCTCGGCAGCCAAGCGTTGACGATGCGCACACTACATGACTACCAGATCGATATAGCATGCCTGTCAGAATCTCGACAAATCAAAGTCGCAGGTGTATACGCAAATTGGCTCCACTACAGTGGGCCGCAAGATACTTCTGACCATCATGGAGTCGCCATGACTCTCAGTTGCCAGGCACACAACGCTCTCCTTTCATGGAAACAAGTATCAGCTAGAATAACGGTTGCTCGTTTCACAGGTCACCCGATGAATATGACCATAATCTGTGTCTACGCACCAACCCTACCCTCTGCGGAAAGGGACAAACACGAACTTTACGGTACCCTGCAGACAGTGGTGAACCATATTCCAACAACGCGACATCCTCATTATTGCTGGGGACTGGAATGCACGAACCGGGCCTAGGAACGATCAGACCCGTTACATACTAGGGCGATACACGCTTGGGGAGCGCTGTGATAATGCAGACCGATTGCTCAGCTTCGCCGACCTTAATCGATTGTGCATAACCAATACTCGCTTCCAGTATCCCAGGAATTACCTTCTGACGTAGTACTCCAACGATGGCCATACAGCCAGCCAAGCAGACTACATCTTAATCCGATCCCGGTGGATATCCTCCATCGATGACTATCGAGCGTACAGATGGGCTGAAACGGGCGCCAAATTCAAACTCCGCTTGACAACGCACCGGAATACCCTTCCATCAAAGCGTATCAACACTGTCCCACGGAAATACTGACTACTGACGAGGCAGCAATAGAAGCAGAAATTTCTGCTAGTGCACCGCGCCTCGTACTTGCAGAAGATGAATCTGTCGATGCTCGTTGGTCTAGGCTAAAATCGTCAGTTCGACGCGCCGCTTTATCTACCCTGTGTTCTACCTCTAAGCCTGGGAAGGGCTGGATCACTCGAGATACTAACCGTTTGTCCGCTAAAGCGAAAGAAGCACATTTCACGAATTCTGCAGATTACCGTCGCTTGAGACGTGAGGCAACCCGCTCAGCACGGTATGATCGCAACCGCTACTGGTCTGTTATCTCAGGTATTATGGAAGCCGCATCAAATTCTGGAAATCTGGGTCATCTTTTTTGTCTCATTGGTTTAGCTTCCGGCAACCGCCATTCACCACAGCCGATATTGTGCAATTCGGATGACCAAATCATCCTTGATACCAAAGGAAAACTTTCCAGATGGGTGGAGTATTTTAGCAACCTCCTAAACCGCTCATTACACACAACCGCACTGATTTCAGCATTATCCCAGTCAGAATTTGACCCGAATTGCTCACCGCCACCTCCCACAGAAGTTGCAGATATCGTTCTTCGCTGAAGCCGTAGAATGCTCCTGGAACGGACGGGATTCCAGCCGAAATCTACAAGTCTTGTCTATCGACCTTCTTTAGCCATTTGCACGAGCTCTTCTGCTCGATATGGGAGACCGAAGTCTGTCCTTTCTCCTGGAGCACCTCAGTATTACTGCCATTTCCAAAGTAGGGTGACCGAACTATGTGCAGTAATTATCGCGGTATTAGCCTGATCGATGTGGCTGTCAAAACCTTCGCGTGAATCTCGATTTCCTGCTTTGCCAATAAGAGAAGCCTTCAAACTCGCCATAATCAACGTGGCTTTCGTCCAGGCAGAGGCGGCACTGACCAAATCTTCACTCTATATCGGGTACTCGAACATCGCTGCCAGTTCCAGCAGCCCACGTTTGTTTGCTTCGTTGATTTTCGAGCTGCCTCTAACTCATTTAACCGTGTAGCACTCTGGAGAATCCTACTTGCGGATGGCGTGCCGGTTAAACTCGTTAATTTGCTGAGATCATACTATCGTTGCACCAAGGCCCGAATTCGGCTCTATGGAACAGAAACAAAGGAATTCGACTTCAGTACTACAGTCCGGTAAGGTTGCTCACTTTCTCCAGTGATATTCAACTTCCTGCTCGGTCGGGTTATGCATCATGCCCTTGAGGGGTATCCTGGTGTTCAATTTAACCCTGACTTCTGGATGCTAGACCTGTAATTTACTGAGGATATCGCTATCCTTGCAGAAGACCCTACAGTCACTGCTAAATCGGGTCGATCAATTAGCCTCTATGATCGGCCTCGGAATCAACACCAGCAAGACAAAGGGTTTATCATCTCCAGCCACCCAGTCCGCCCCGTCACTCTCCTTACATGGACAACGTATCGAGTCTGTTCCTGAATCCAAGTACCTTGGATCCACTATTCTCCTCAATGGTCAGGCTACATCCAAAATCCGGAATCGTATTGACAACTCCAGAATAGCCCTTTTACAACTGGGAAACGTTGTGGCGAAGGACGGAAATTGGTTTGCGAACCAAAATCCCAGTATTCTCAGCAACCATTCGAGCCATTTTACTCTAGTTTGCGAAACATGGCCGTTTTGATCCGAAGGCACTCAAAAGCTGGAATTTTTTAACCATTGGTGTCTAAGGCTGATCCTGAAAACGCTGTGACAAGAACGTATCAGCAATGACGGACTTCGTAAGCGCTGTTACGGCGTTCCCTAGCTCTAGGCGCACATCCAACAACTCAAACTTTAGTGGTTCGGTCACGTCCTCCGCAGACCGGACAGTGACTTCATTAAGGTCGTTTTT